TGAAAATATCTTTTGTGATGTAACTCTTTCAAAAGTACATAAAAATGGTTGCCAGCAGGGGTGTACATGTAGATTTATTAAATACACCTTGTGCGCTACCTAGGAACCAAATCTAGAACCCGGCACTCGAAATTTCTGCTCTGTTACAATCGTACCCTGTTACAATTGACCCCACTCTCCCCTATCACCTGATGATTAAGATTTTACATAGAATCTTAGAGTGCGTCTCATCATTTGGCCAGGGAATTAGAATACTGTATATACCAGGCCTGGTAGCAGAACTCTTGAAAACAGCGGTGTTAAACGAGGGCCATACCTTTGCCTGACATGAATGGTTTGCTCTTTCACTTTGTGTCTAATGACATCCTGTCTAATGTCTCGATGAAATTTGGAGAGAGTTTATTATTATTTTTAAACAAAACTGCTGAACGTTGATGATCAGAGATGTATGTTTCAACTGCTAATATTTGTTTCGTGAATAAAATATATATTGAAATTATCTTTCAGAATACTTTAGATCGTAAGAAGAAGAATTTCTCCTTCTCACGGAAGTTTCCGTTCATGAAGAGTAAAGAAAACGCAGGGGAAGACAGCGACATAGAAAGTAAGTCTGCAGATCGATTCCTATTCTTTGAAACAGGGATCCTCTCATTGAAATAATATTCTTTAAAAGAGGTTCGAATGTTCTTTTAGAAATTTTGCTATCAGATTCTTGTGGACACTGGTCACCCTAGATACACAGATTGTGACAAAACTTAAAACAAAAGAGTAACATTCAATGTGGGATCTCAAAGTAAAGGACGAGGAATGTGTAAATAAAGACCAACCTTTGAAAAACAACGAATATGAACGTTTATTACAAAGGAGCGATCGTAACTTGCAGTACAGACTGCGTGTAAATTACGCAGACAGTCCTGCCACGTCTGAAAATCCGGTTGATAAAGTATCTCGGTACTCATAGTTACAGAGTAGACAAAATTCCCCCTTGCTTTGAGACTCCACATTGTTCTGCGATAGCTGTTCATTTTCCCTTTTTTATTTGCCACCATTAGTTTTGCATCAGCCTGTTTAGCATGAACTAACACGTGTCAGATTAGAAATTAACACGAAATTTGATTGATACTTTCTTTTGTTAATCTAATAACACTTCCACAATAAGTTAATATTATCACCATACCTTAAAAATACCATTTAACTGTTTACAGAATGTAAAAAATAGGCCCACACACAATTCAGTAAACAAAATATAATGTGTGATGGCACTCTTAAGAGTGCTTTTTTCCGCCGGCAGACGTAGAAAATTCCGTATGTAAAATATAAACTGCATTTTGTTGTCTCCCGCTTCATAACACGTGTTTTCTTTTTAATAGCATTCTAAGAAATTGCACACAGGAAAAAACTAAACTATTAACAAATGGTTGATATCTTTTTTTTGAAATCGTACAGTGTCGTTACTGAACTGACCATTGGGAGCTTACTCTGGTGAAAAAGGTTCGAATCTCAGAGATGGCTGTTCAATACGAATTCTGCACCCGGCTCTCACCATTCTCAGAGCTGACTTAAAATATCTTCCGTGGTAGAGGGATTGCCTTCGTGAAAGCTTTTATAAATTGTTTTTCCTCTCCGCAAATAGTTCAATCTAAAAGCAGTTTGATCCAGAAGTTCGCCACTCTTCTGGGTTCAAAATGACATGGCTACGTAGTGGATAGTCGCAAACGGATATGGTACCGAGATTGCTCTTTAAGAAAGCGATCAAGCAGAGGGATTAACAAGTGATGTTAAATTCATAGTTTAATATTATTTCTGAAGTATACTCCAATGCGGTGCACCACATTTATGTACCACTGTGCACATAATGTGGTACATTATGTACCACATTATGTGCACGTTATACAATCGAGGCAATACAAAGTAAAAATCTGTAGAGGAAAGAAAAAAAAATAGAATTTCTGAGATACTTTTTCATTCATTGTGTAACTTTTTCTAATATTTACTTTTCATGTACAACTCTAACAGGAGAGGGATCTCCCACTAAAGGTCAGTATTTATACTCCATTTATTTTGTAACAATGTAAATGTTTTTGAGTTTTGTAATTCCTTCAACTTTTGAAAAGTAAACAATCATTTGACAGTCGACTTTTCGAACGATCCAGTTCATCGTTTTCACATGATGTCATTATTCTTTGCATATTAATAATTTTTTTAATCAATAGTCTGAATAATTCTATCAGAGAAACGCTACAGTTAAAAATAGTTTAAATCCAAAAGAATAATAAAATACAATTCGCGATTTTTGAAACTCAAGGAGCATTCTTACTATATCTAATTTGATCGTTCTAATGCCTCAATCAAATTATCTATTTCTAAATAAATATTTTGTGTGAATTTAATTTTTGTAACAAAGTTATGATAAAGAATATACTGTCAGTGCGACGTTGGAAAATATTTTGCATTAAAATGAAAAATTTGTTTTTAAAACATCAGCACAAAATCGTTTGTTTCTGGCATGAAGAAAAGAATGGAATATCTCCACTTTTTTGTCTGTTTACGAACAGTGTCGTCAAAACATCTTAGCTCCAGAATAGTCACTCAATGTTAATGTAGGATTTTTCAAACATGAAATCAAACAAGGAGAGGGCAATTTGAAATAGGATGTTAAAAAGATTTCGAAAAAAAAAACACATTTGAAATTGTAAGCATGTATACTAGTTAAATCCTGCTGAGTAAGAAGCTTTCTTCTTTTTATTTCTGTTAACTGCAAAAAATGTAAATTATATTTAAAGATTAATTATGATTTCACGTTATTTTAAATGATTTCATGTACTTACAAATGATATTAATTTGAATATTGTATTGTGACTAGATATGAATTACAGCAATAATTTATGAAGTGCTAATTATTAAAAGATAGGAGAAACAGGCGTTAATTGGGTATAATATGAAAAAAAACACAACTACTTCCACTCCGAAAATTTTACTAGGAATAATATTTACCTTTTAGTTTAATTAATAAACTGAGTTTTAAATATGTTTATTAAATTCATAAACTTAGATAAAACAACAAAATAAGTTATTTCAAAAGGAACTAGACTAATACATTTCCAACCTGACGAGTAGCGACTTATAACAACACACTTCGTTTAATGTTTACTTGTTGCTAGAAATCAGGTTCGCAGAAAATGCTGTTTACTAGTCAAATTTAGTAGGAATAACACGACCTGTGACGTAGGCTATAGTATACCCAATTGAACAAAATTGAATTATACTAAAATAAAAAATGTTCACCGATTTTTAATAAAATGATGAGATATGACTTCTGGCCTTAGAAAAATGTTTGAATGATAATGAAGAATGTTTTTCAACAAAAATTGTTCATGTTAATATTCATTTTTCATTAACTGTACCGGTGCTACATAATTTTTAATTTTTTTCTCTTCCTCATGATAATTATCATCTAGATTATTGTTTATAAAACCAAATATATAATTAATTTACTTAATAAAAATCTAATTATTTAACTATTAAAAGTTCTAGTTAAAAGTAGTATTTATCCATTTTTATATAATTGAAAGATTAAATTATTACTGTAATTAAAACATCAAGAAATAACAAATAATTTTAAAACTACGTTAAATAAAATTATGTATTTGTGAACAAAAAATGAAAATTTAGAAAATTTAATCGAAATGAAATTATCTTGTTGACTTTCTCCAGTCTGACCACTTCTTCTCTTAATTAATTGACTTGTTGGCTTTTATTCAAAATGTCGACACACTTTATCAAAACAAAAAGTTTACTATCGAATCACTAACAGTTTTCAAATTTTTGAGGGAAGGTGAAGACTGAAGAATAGATCATTCCCACCTTAAATATTATGCTAAGACGAAGTTACGTACTTTCTCCAAATTAGCATTTTTTAATGATTCGGGAAAATAGGGCCTCAATAGTTTAGTTAGGACACCCCTACTGTCAAACCCAGCTATAGTAAACCTTCAAGGGACCGAAGTTTCTGTTCACTGTAACCGGGACTTCACTATAACCGTTCCACAAATAATTTTAACTAATGATTCCAAACTCCCCTCTTTTATGACACATTATTTAAATAAATGACGAATAAAATGACTGAAAAATAATACGTAGTAACAAAAATGTGTACACTTTTATATTTTATGACTCTTCGTCTTGCGTACAAAAAAATTAGTAATCTTTAGCTGATGAGCAACATCAGATATGGAAACACTCTTCCCGATTCTCCAATAATTTTTCCTCAATTTATGTTATTCTGCTTTTTAAGCCTGTCTAATCAGCGATTCGAGCACATAAAAGTAGTCTCACCCAATTGCTTAGCAAATTCATCGGCTTTGACTCGAAGCATTTGTCCAGATACTGGGCGATGACGGCTTCTTTGAATACTGAACCAATTCTATAATGAAGCAAACAAGAAAGAATGCTCATTGCTACATTCCATGCTATAAATGTTCTTAAAAATCAGTATATATATATACATTTATTTTGAAGTAGAAATTTCAAAATTATTACAAAAAAATAAAGAAAAATCAGTCGAAGACAGAAAAAAGTTCATACTATCCATACAAGAAACGAATGAAATAAAAATAAAAATATAAATAAAAATATGACCACCGAAGCCGACGTCTTCAGGGGGTACCGGCCTCGGTAGCCATTAAAAACAAAACCATTTCTAATTGAGGGAGAAGCAAATGCTTAAAATATCTCCCTCAGTACCCCGATGGTTTTGTATAGAGGTCCAGGAAAAACAAGATACATTCAAAATAATTAACAAATTAAGAAAAGAAAATCAATCAAAATCATCAGAAAAATAAAAACTCACTAAGTCACAGGTCAAGCATCAACTTCAAAAGCAAGTAGAGGAAAAGAAAACACTAAAAACTGAAAAACCAACGCCCCCTATTATAATGCGCAGAAGAAGTTTAAAATGAAATGGAAAAGGTCAGGAGAAAGAAATACGCAGACAAATTAATAGAATGCTGAACTGGGGCTGCTCAGTTAAGACTAGAATTGCGCCCTGTTAAAAGAAAAAATTATATAAAAACTATTGATGGTTTCTAAGTTATATATCGAGTGGATTGTAGCCGTAAGCATTTTTTCTTGTTTGCATCTTTTATCTCCGTTTACCATCCCTAAATTTCCCTAAAACAGGAATAAAAAATAAAAGTTAACATATTTTTTGTGACTACATAATTTTTTTAATCATTTTTGTATTTCTTTTTATGGGTTATTTATTTAAATAATGTGTAATAAAACGGAGCAGTTCGGTAAAATGAGTTAAAATTTTTTGAAGTACGGATAGAGTGAACTCCGGTTATAGCGAACCGAAATTTTGGTCCCTTGAAAGTTCACTATAGCCGGGTTTGACTGTAATTGTATTAAAAACTTTTCGATTTTTTTTCATTAGTTCTGGAAATAGGGCAAAATGCACTAAAACTGAAATTGACATTGAGGGGCCCCCAAAAGTCGAATTTTAATGAAATCGTTCATTAAAAATTCGATTTCTGAGGAATTATTCGACTGATTCCCTTCACATTGCATATTTTGCCATATAGAATTACTTTCTTTAAAATGTTGTAAAAATTTGTGTGCCTTAATAATTGTGGACGATTACAAAAATTATAAATAGTTGCTTTTTGCGTGGAATATATCTTTGGATTAACTGATTTCATGATTGTAGTCAAAAATGTGTGATTAGCTAAAACAAATTTTGGAAATATGGCAAAATACTCAAACAGTAAAATAAACATTAAGAGGTCCAAACATTTGACCTCCTGACCAAACTATTGGGATATTATTTTCCAGATTTTTGAAACCCTCCCCTATATTTTGAGGGCATAAATCCTATTGCCTCGAAACAAAGCAAAAAAATGTTTATTCAGAGAAAGTATGCTTATTTGCCTAATTCAAGACTAAAAATGTCTTAAATTAATTGTCCCGAACTACTAAGAAAAACTGAACCGCGTCCCGAGTTAACTCGGGTATGTATATATTGCAAATATTTATTATCCCGAGTAAACTCGGGTATGTATATATTGCAAATATTTATTATCCCGAGTAAACTCGGCAATGTGTATATTGCAAATATTTATTATCCCGAGTTAACTCGAGTATGTGTATATTGCAAATATTTATTATCCCGAGTTAACTCGAGTATGTATATATTGCAAATATTTATTATCCCGAGTTAACTCGGGTATGTATATATTGCAAATATTTATTATCCCGAGTAAACTCGGGCCAAGCAGAATTCGTCAATACGTTTTGTTTTTTCACGTTTTTATTCGGCAGGAAGCAAAATAAAAAGTGGGACTGCATACGTGTTTTGTACAATTGTATATACGATGGTCGATGAATTTACATTGAAAAAAAGAGTACAAAAATGGCGTGTGCGAGCGAAAGTAAAAGTAATGCAGAAGATTTTTCAGATTATGAAGATATACAATGATTAATATTTAACTTTTTTCATTTGTCCTAGATAATTTGGGATAGTAAACTGATGGTAAATTAAAGATTTATTAAAATTTCTACTTAGAACGTGTGTATTACGTTTTGTTTTAGTTCCTTGTATTTATTGATAAAATTAAAAAAAATATGTTGATTTTTTACATTTTTGTTCAAAAAAAATTGATAAGCGGTTAAGGTGTTTAGCGCATTGTGCGTAAAAATTCTGTTATATTTTTTTGAGAGATTTTTTTTTGTACATTGTCTTTAAAAGAAGATCAAGGGGGTGAAATGAGATTCTAAGAAAGACTTTTTAGGCGTTAGATTGAAATTGTAAAAATATGCAGGGACGTCACAAGCATTTATTTATGTTTCTGAACATTTCAAAACAAAATTTAAAATTTTTGATGTTGAAATAAAATTTGAAAATTGAGTTAGACAATAACAAATAAAATTCCTCGCCAATTCTCACTTCCGCCGTCTTTGCTTCCCCAACTTGGCTCATTTTCTGTGGGTGAGAACTCCAATTGTTATTGTTGGGGTTAATAATCCTCACGGCTTTCAAATCGTCATATTCTTCCACTTGGATCTTCAAATGTGATTGTGTGTTTTAATTCTTTTTTTTTTTAATTCTATAGAGATGACCGTGTCCAATACAAGTGACCCTGAAACTAGTAGTTTGAGTAAGTTTTTGTTCACTTATTATTATTATTGTGTTTTGATTAAAGTTAGAGAGTTTATTTGTAACAACCAGATTCCATAAAGAGAATGACCATTAGCTTGTGACACGAACAATCATCATTGTTATTGACGACATAAAATTATATCGTATTCTTAAGCTTGGATTTCATAGCTAATGATATACTTAAAGCTTCAAAACTTAAACTTTCAAAAACTCTCCCATTTATTAAATATTAAATATTTTTTTAGAACTTAATTGAAATATTTTTTAAACGCATTAAAAAAAAAAAGTGTTTTACACTTTTGTGTACCTGTTTCTCATAATGACGCCAAAAGATCCGTTATGAATCGAAAGAAGAATAGCCCTTTAAAACCAGAAATCGGTACACTTAAGTACTTTCTATACGTGCAAGGCAGTCGAATAAAGGAAACACACAAATCAAAAAATTCATATTTTGAACCAATTCGTTTACAAATTCATACTTTTAGCCATCCGGCATCTACCAATGGAGCATGTATTTCTGGGCAGTCAATATCCCAATAAAGCGCCCCTTCTTAATTTTGACGAAATTTGCTAAAGATGGGGCGGTGCCTTAGTATTACTGAACTATAATATTACCGATTAAAACCTCTGAATCTAAATAAGAATTTATTCCCAAAGTAATGAATTGATTTATCAGCAGGTCGAAAGGGAACTTAATAGTTGTCATCAATGCAAAACAAAAAACAACTTCTGATTTATATTTAAAAAAAAAAAATTTTTTTTTTTTTTTTTTGGTTGCTCACGTTATATTTCACTGAATTATTCACGATATATTATATTCACTGAATTTTTTTAAAAATGGTTAATGATGACCTGAACTGCATTTATTCTATTTAATTATATTTCTTCATACGTTTTGTAAATTACTTGTCAATTATCAATTTTTATTGGGCAAATAATTATCGATTGTTTTTTAAATCCTTACATTTTGTTTACAATTGAAAAAATATACTTACATAATATGACACAGTTTATAAACAAATATTTTTTTTAAAAAAATTTTTAAGGAATACTGCAAAATACCTTAGAAAAAAGGTGTTAATGTCATTTTTTTCCCACAAACTAATAATAGTTACATTTCATTAATTGGTCAAGAAAGAGCTTCATTTGCGCATGAAAAAAATGTGGAAATTTTTAATACACCGCACTTAGTTTTGTAATTATAGAGGAAACAAGAAAATCCAACAATATAATATAAAGGGGCTGGGCTAGGGCACTGAATCCATGCCCAACCAAAGACTCTCCGTGTAGTAAATGGTGACTGATGCATGTTAAATCTGTCGAGGCACAAAGTCCTCCATCCTCCCATAGCGAATCAATACTTCTTGGGGTACTGATCCAGGAGTTTTCTTGTCTTCTGGATTGGTTCAAAATTACAAGGCTACGGAGTTNATATATATATAAACGTTTACTTTTCCTTAATTCGCTTTTTGTGCATGGATAGCTATATTTATGATACTATAAAATAATCATTTTGGGAAAGTTTGTTTTCTTTTTGAGTAGAAATGTTTTTATCATTTCATCATTTTATTTTTCAAAACCGACCTTGTGCAAAATCCGGGGAAACTTTTAGAGTTGTATCAAATTTACTTCAGTTGTCATGCTGGTCGAAATTCACTTTTATTGGACCAACATTGAGAGCTAACAAAAGGTTAAATCCTATTGAAAACATAAAACTCTACAGTTATTGTCAATGTACTTTGGACCAAAATTTCATATTCGTATTTTCAATTAAACATTTGTCTCACATGTATAATCATTTTATTTTAAGAGAAAAATTGCCCGCATAATGGTGCCCCCGAGTTTGGAAACAGTTTTGATATACTACTACTACTGCAGACTGAAGTTATATTTACTGGATTAAAAACTTTATTCGCAAACATATTCAAAAATATATAAATAGGAAAGAACTGTCACTATGTTTCGAAAGCTGAAAAACAAGAGCTCATTTTCATGACTTGTCAGGGGAGAATGAGAAGAAAGAAAAGTGATTTAAAATATAAAACGAAAAATGGAAAAAAAATGAGTAATAAAATAAGGAACACAATACATATGTCCCTTATCAAGAATACGAGAAACCATCCATTGATGCGCAGTGTCATAAAATGAATTTCGAAGTTATTTGCACCCCAGTCACATCAGTGATGCCCTGGAATCGCTTGTTTTATTCATATGAATCCTGATTCTCTTGTTAACGACATGTGTTTTTCTCCACCTCTCCATAGTGCATGGAGATGCATTTTACTCTAATACTACATCCAGTCACTGTTTTTTTTTTCTGTTTTTTTAACACTTTCCACTATTAGCTACTATTGTTTTCTTTGTTTTCTTACTCACCTTTATTTTTTTCCATTCTTCGTTGGAAACTTTTCACTGTTTCAAATCATTTTTGTTTCTTCTCATTCTCGACTTGAAAATGGGCGCCCGTTTTTAAACGCTTGAAACATGACTGTTGTTTCCTATTTATATATTTCTAAAGCGAACGAAATTTTTAAACAGGTAATATGATTTTCGTGGGATTATTAATTTAAAGTTATCTCTGATGCATTTGCATGTTTACACCATGTCATGAGTCTGAACATAAGAGATAATTCTTCTCAAAGATTAATAAATGCCGACCCGTTAGACATGCATCAATACTACTTCAAATTATTCTATCAGAAGAACAAGCAGACTTTGTGATTTTTGGAGAAAATATTTAGATGTTATTGTAAAAAATATGCTCATCATTCGAAAAAATATACAAATAAAAAATCTTTTTCAGGAGGCACAGAAGAACACGTTTTGTCATACGAAGCCGTTGTACAGCAAGAGAGTAAGTTGTATTTATCTTCACAATTTGTTTTTGATAGGGTCCAATTACATCTTTGGTAAAAACTTGTTATTTGAAATGTCTGTCAATTACCCCTATCGAAATGATACTTCAATATTATCAATAGTTTTTCGCTTTTTTTTTGTTGATAGAAATACCTATTTTTCTTTTCAGTTTCATACACGAGACCTGTGATTATTCTGGGACCATTGAAAGACAGGATCAATGATGATTTAATCTCCGAGTATCCCGACAAATTTGGCAGCTGTGTACCACGTAAGTATCCCATCCCTTTCATTAATAATGAAACGTAAAAAGATTCCTTTTAAAATAATAACATTCCAGAAATTACGCTGATCTAGCGTTTAAATTTTTTTAAACTGCTTTTCTCTTTAATAGCTACTCTGCATTCTTTTGCAGCTTTATATTCTAAGAAACTTTTCATTTACGATTTTGTAAAATGCTTTTTCGTTTTTTATCTTTTATTGCTAAAGAGATATAAATGTCGAATTTAGTCACTGGCTTAAAAAATCCTGTTTACTTCCTTTGTCTTTGGATTGAAAAGCTGAATCTTCCAGCAGGCACCCTTGTTTGAACTTCCCTTCGAAATAGAATTCCAATGTAGATTTACAAATAGTCAAGTGACAACACATCTTCAGATAAAAAAAAAAACAAATCATATTGAAAAAAAGTCAAATCCTACTTTTGTTAACAAAGAAAAATTTTATTTTAGTTACTTCTTAATAAATAATTAAAAAAATTTCTATAAATTTAATTCTAAATCCTAAAATGAATGAATTAAATTTAATGAATGAATTAATATTTGGAAAAAAAAAACTGTATGAACACCACAAGAATGTATTTGAACTTGAAGGGATGAATAAAAAGAAATTTATTACGACGATTGAAAATTTGAACAAGATATATAAATATATAAAGCTAATATATAAATTAAATATATAGCTATATATATATTTCTCTTACACGGCGACAAAAAAAGCCTCATTACAACTCTCCGAATGGCAACGCTGGAAAATCGACCCATGATTGCCGCTAAAAATGCCGCAAATCTAGCTGAGATGGCTCAACATATAGCGCTTTTAAAAACGGAAACTGAAATAACCAGAGAGAGCATAAGCTAGGCAGAAGTGAGTAGTCTTTGTCGGTAGATCTCTATTTTAGTATTTTGTCGAAAGCGCTTTTTTTCACGAATTTATTTGACGATTTTTGATTTACATCACGAATTTATTTGTTCTACTAGAATTAATTTGTTTATGCAGGTTTTTCCATTGCAATTCACTTATTTCAATTTTTAATAGACTTAATTATAGCCAAAATTTTAACCTTTTTAAAGAGATATCAGTTTTAGAAATTTTATCTTAAGATTTTATACTATAGCACATTTCTAATAGGTTTAACGAATTACATGTCATTTATTTGAATTCAAATTTACTTTAGTGACGTAGTATTTACTAAAAATATGTAATTTTGTTTTAAAAAAAAAGTTTTTATATGGATTTGAATGATTGTTTTGAATTCTTAGAATTTTGTGCATTTGCAATGTACCTAAGTTAGTAGCGAGCGAAGCGACCTTGGTTTGCGAAGCAAACCATATAAGATTGCGTAGCAATTTTCGGGGGTTGGCGAGCGTTAGCGAGCAGGGGGCGCAACCCACTAGTATATTTATATATTATAATAATATATAAATATATCGGGAGAGTGTGGAACTAATTGAAAAGAAAGCGGGTGATATCAGACAAGTACAGAAGTATAAATTGGGTGACAATGTAATGTTCTTTATTGAATTTATGTCACGCTGCGAATATAAAATAATGAAATATTTAAATGCCCGCAATAAAACTATTGTTCAAATAGAGCTGTAAGTTAGAAATTATCACTGATGTTATTTTTAAAATATGTGGCAAACTTCGTCAAAAATATGTGAATCGCTTATAGTAAAATTTAAAACAATGACTAACCCTTGACCCCTATTTAATGAATAAATTAATGTTTGAAAAAAACTGTATTGACCAGGGTTGCGTTTTTGCCGTCAAAAACTGGTTTTTGACATGACAGTGGTAACAACCGTCAAATACCTACTGTTTTCTTTCATTTATGGCATATAGCGGACAATATATTATTTTCACATAATTGCCTTTATGTATGTTGTAAATGATTGCTATTGATTTTGCAACCAAATACATGTATTCTTATAGAAGGATATACATTCATATAGAAATGTTGTAATATACTTATTGAAAATAGTGATACTTTTATCATTATAGCTTGATTTGCAAAGTATTCAAAATTTTGCACTTTTTAATTGTTAGAAATAAACAAACAAACAAACAAAAATGCTTGGAACTTTTAATAAATTCAAGAACTAAAAAGAAGAATTTAAAATTTGGCATTTCTTAAATATTAGAAATAAGTTAAACAAAACTTTCAAAACTTGTAACTACTAACAAACTCTAAGTCAAGAATGACTTGACATTCTTCAGTAATGTAATATGCCAAACAAAATGATGCTTGGAAATGTGGAAAATTTTGTTTAGTATCCTAATATATAACTTCAAATAGTATGTTTTGATATAATCATGTTGGGAATCTGTTCTTAAATATCTTTTAACAACTTTTTTTCTAATTTTACTGCCCAAAAATGAATTAATTTTAAATTATAAGCAGTTGAACTCAAATAAAAATACAGTTTTACCCAAACTATGGGTTTTTGACATGACGGTAAAAACCATGGTAAAAACCGTCATGTGTCAAAAACTTGCCAACCCTGGTATTGACATTAAGTGTTTAAAAAATAAATGTATTTGAAGTTGTATGGATGAATACTTTATGAACGACAAGAGTGTGAATCTTTTTAGATACGACGCGGCCTAAACGTGATTATGAAGTGGACGGTCGAGATTACCATTTTGTGGCTTCTAGGGAGCAGATGGAAAGAGATATTCAGAACCACCTCTTCATCGAAGCTGGACAATACAATGATAATCTCTATGGAACAAGTGTTGCATCAGTCAGGGAGATCGCCGAAAAAGTAATTTATTTACACTCTTCCAACCCACCACATATCCTCAGCGGTTGACGGATCATGGGTTAGAGCCGTCACCGTGGGTTTACTAACGCATATGCTGGGTTGTTCCACCAAAAAGTCCTCCAAGACGGCAAATTTCTCCCATTGCTTGATTCAGGAGTTACCTTGTCTTCTGAATCGGGTTCAAAATAACAAGGCTGCGTAGTTGATCATGAGTAGTCGTCAACTCAAAAATGGGGTTGGCTTTTCAACGACGACTATAAAATATTAAATACAGTATCAGTAACTGTGAGTGATGGCCAAGACGCTACAGAGTGACTCACTTTCACAAAACCCATACCATGAGGGCCGGAGGTCGTGGGTTCGATCCCCGCCGGCCGAAGACTTACCGTGTAGTAAACTGTGACTGATGCACGGTAAATCTGTCGAGTCACAAAGTTCTCCATGTTCCCATAACAAAGCAATACTTCTGGGCAGGGCTCGAAAAACAGCCCGTCCGCCCGTCCTCGACGGTCAAAAATTCTCCGCGGACAACGAATTTCTCGAATCCGACGTCCGCGCGGGCGGCCATTTTCCCGTTAATGTTCGTGATACATTTTCAATTTTTGTTATCTTACAAGAGTCTTGTAAGTTACAAGGCAGCAAAATGACCCGCAATACTGCGCATATATTGATGTTTTCTCTGTCTGGGAGTACTGCAGCGGTTGAAAGGGGCTTTGCAGCAATAAACTTACAAAAAAAACACAATACGTACTGGTCTTAAACAAGAAGCTTTAAAAGCAATTTTGAACATCTACCTAAATGGAAAACCCCTTTCAGATTTCTGTTCAGAAACCTCTGTAAATTACTGGCTTGATTGTGGAACTGGCAAACGTCATATTTGATTCATTTAAAAAACGCAGTACCCTCGGATAACTTGACATTCCAGATAACTTGACCCTTGTCATTTAAATTATTTCATAAAAGAAATACTAGGTTACTATTAGTAACCTAGTATTTCTTTTATTACTGTATAATGTAATCCTTGTAACGACTAATTCATTGTACAATTTATATAAATGTTTGTAATAAAGAGGAGAAAATTATATTTTTATTTATTTAAAAGTGACGGGTTAGTTTGAACGGAGGACGGGTGCATTGTTGGACAAGCCGTCCTCGGGGACAGGTAAAATTTCTGAGTTTTTTCGAGCCCTGCTTCTGGGGGTACTGATCCAGGAGTTTCCTTGTCTTCTAGATTGGTTCAAAATTTCAAGGCTACAGAGTTGAGCATTAATAGTCGTATACCCAAATTTGGGTTGGCTGTTCAACGACGGTTATTAAATGAAAAAAAAGGATACTATCGTATGTTGGAATATAATAATATAGCGTCTCCTATCTTGTTTCCCTTCGACAACGGTTTTTTTTTTAAATCACTCTTTAAGAATTTTTGTCATCCTGAAATCCTGTCAAAAATGAATATGGATTCATAAGAGCGAAGGAAGTATCAAAATAACCTATTTATTTAAAGAATGAAGCTAAAATAAATCGATCCCTTTGCCTGTACAAATAAACTGGTTTTTGATTAGCATTAGTTTCTAGTGAAGCGTCGAGGGACGTGACGTGCCTTCAGTCATTTCCTAAAATTTCAGAATTCACTTCATTTTTAAATACCCCGAAAAGACGCATTTTTTATTTAAAAATGAAAAAAAAAAATTTGATTTTTTTATAAATAGTTTTATGATTAGCATTTTTATAGTAAATGGTACCTTGAAAACCGTTTAATTAATTTTTTTAAATTGTTATAATTTGAACTCGACGATTTCAATGATACAAAATTTCAAGTATTAATGGAACGCAACATTTTCATTCGAAACAATTAACTTACGAGAAAAACTATTCAATTATTGTTTATCAATGAAAGATGCTTTTGAGAAATGTATGCATTATCTTCATGGGACACTATACATACAGCTCTTGTCTGGTTGAAGAATGGGAAACATCTGTTTTGTAATGCATGAATATGAAATAAAATATAAAAAAGGGAAATACTAATCAGGAGGAAGATATACTCTCGAGAAATGAAATTTCTCTTCATAATTGCTATTGAACAAAAAGAAAAATTAATTGAACAACAATGATTGATAATGTAAATAATCTCAACTTTAAAAAAAATATGATGTTTTAAAACTATAAGGGAATAATGAAATTAATTAAAACCTATTTTATATCTACATCCTACTTACCTTACAATAGTTCGGAGTGTTGTTTAATTTCGGTTTTATGTCCCAAACCCTCTCCAAAACTACTCCACTCATTTTGACACAATTAAATTTCTATAGATTTTTATCTCTCAAATAAATTTTTAAAAAATGAATGGCAACAGTTTTTCCTCCGCGGGATGGTGTTTACCAACAGGATAATGCACCATGTCATAAGGGTCGAATCGTAATGACTTTCAAGTCATGTCTTGGACCCCAAATTCACCTGCCCTTAATCCAATAGAGCATTTGTGGTCCTACTTGGAAAACAAAACTCGTGCTGCTACGCTACCCAATGTGCAATGTGAGGGAATCGCAGGACCAGTTGGTGAGCGCTTGGTACCAGAAACCTCAGACTACCTATCAGCACCTTGTGGAATCAATGCCACGGCGGATGCTAGCAGTTTTGAGGGCTAAAGGTGGTCCTACATGTTATTAGCAGGGTGGTCATAATGTAATGGCTCTTCGGTGCATATATATATATATATATATATATATATGTTGTTGACGTATGCCTGTTTAGGCAGAGGGGGAACGATTGTTCTTGTTTTCCAGTGGCGCCATCTATGGCCAAGAATTCAACTTCTGCTACACCGTACGTCACACCCGTTTATAGGGCGGACACATTCATACATCCATTCATTCATCCACAGATCGTAATTTTGGCCTGAATCGGAGAACGATAGATCTCCAATCCAGTACCCCCAGAGATTTTGATTTGTTATGGGAGCATGGAGGACTTTAGCGACTCGACAGATTTAACGTACATCAGTCACTTTACTACACGAGGAGTCTTCGTCCAGCGAGGTTCGAACCACGAACTCTCGCACATGGGCCCAGCACCTTACCAACCCGTAGCGACAACCAGGGCCTTACCTTATATATATATATATATATATATATATACAGNTATATATATATATATATTGGTCCTTTAATATTATGTATGTAATAACTATAAATATATTTATATAGTATGTAAGAAATTAGTTTCCAGAGTGTTAATTATGGTTAAATAGTAAAAACAATTTAAATAATTTCAGGTAAATAAGCTTAAACATACCGGAAAATCTTTTTTATGGAAAATAATCCGATATTTTTGTTTGTTTATTAATTTTTTATTACTGTTAAGTCAACAAACAAAGTATGCATTGAATCCAAAGCAAGAAATTGATTTTCGTTTGTAAATGGTACCCCCACTCACTCTCTATTTATTATGGGTGTGCATGTGGTCATTTTCTACATATTCATGATCAGCTTATAAGGTGAAGGAATGTTGCATCTGTAGACTTCTTGAGAGATAAGTGAGGCAATTCTAAGAATGTTCCCTTGTAAGAAAAGATAATAATTACATTATTTAAAAACCAGTAGTAAATGGGGGAACATAAGGTAGAAATGTTTATTGTTTCAAAGAATATTGAGAGGTTGGATAACATTAATTCATATGAAAGTTAGTGGGGACCACGAATAACTATTGTAACAGAGGGATTTATTGTTGTAACGGATATGATAATAGCGAGAGTTCACTGCCTATATTGTTGTGTATTGAATCTTATTGTTGTAATATTTATTGTAGGGAAAGCATTGTATATTGGATGTGAGCGGAAATGCTATAAAACGTCTTCAAATGGCAAATCTGCATCCCATAGCTATCTTCGTTAAACCCAAATCAGTCGAATCAATTATGTGAGTATTCTCCATGTTTTTTGTTGTTGCTTTAAAGTGATTTTACTCATACTAAGGTCACCATTGATACATTTTATTTGAAAACAATTGTTTATTGTAGAAATGCCGACCCACTTTCCTATCGTGTCGTGGAATATTATTGGGAATAATAAACAGCTATTTAATTTTCCTTTTACCTTCTCGAGCCATTCTTAGGGAATACCGGTTATCCATACTACTTTCATAGCAATCGATTATTGGTGGGTCGGGCTTTATTTATATCACCAAGACTTAGTTTGAATTAAAAATTGAGACACTGTCAACACACATGTGTTAGATTTAAACTGAAAGCAAAAATAATATGTTGTCAAATTAGCCATGCCCAAACTTAAACTAACGCTTTTTATTTTTTACTGATTGCTTAGGAATACATTTATGACTCTCCCGTCCCGAAAGGGTTCATAAACAAGTTTTATAATTGACTAAAATGAACATATTTTGATTCGTGCAAATATTTGCAGTGAAATTCTCAGAAAAGAGTTTAAAGTATTTTTAATGAAGCATGTCTTTATTTATTCTTTCAGACGAAGTATTTCATTAACATTGAAAAAAAAACGTATTCATTATGTAATAATTTTATGAATGAATGTCCTCGAATGTTTGAATCGATCTAAAGTGGCTAATTCCATCTCTTTTTATGAGCAGGGAATTTAACAAAAGGATAACAGAAGATCAAGCTAGAAAGACATTCGAAAGATCTTTAAAATTGGAACAAGAGTTTGCTGAATATTTTACAGGTGAGTTGATCACAATGTTTCGACTGATGCCCGGGAAATGTGTTGGTCTTTAATGTATTAAAACAAAAGAGAAACAAATTTCAATATTCGCTAATGAATTTTGATATTATTTTCTGAAAGATGAATTTGAACAACGCATGATGTATGTCCGAAAAGAACGATTGTAATAAGAATGTCATGTCTTGTAGAGATTAGCTGACTTGAAAAAATAGCTATTAAACCTTACAGTGTGAAATAGGCGGCGGTGATACCACCCTAAATTCACGTCCTAATCTCGTTTTTTTTTCCAACAAATTTACTCTCTTTTTTTAAAAATGTTTATACTTTTAATACTATAATACGGAGCCATGATGGCTCAGGGTACAGAGTGTTCGCCTTTCAAGGTGGTGAGCCAGGTTCGAATCCCAGCGATGACTGGTCGATACGAATTCTGCACCCGGCTAGCACCGACCATAGTGCTGACGTAAATTATCATCAGTGGTAGACGGATCATGGGTTAGAATTCCCTTGCTGTTATGCTAACCATGGGAAGTGTTGGTGGTGTTCCTCTCCATGTAATGAAAAAGTGGTTTAGTTCAATCGAAAAGTCCTCTTCGATGGTTAATTTCCTCCAATACTTGATCCAGAAATAAACGTCACGCGAATATCCAATCACGCAAGAGCCTATTTAAGTTTAACGACGGATTTCAAATTAAAACTGTAGTGTTGTCAATCGCCTTTACGAGAGCAACTGTGGTGCACACTTATCAAAAGTTACAAACATTTTTCATGACTCTGGCAGCCAGTGGCTACTATAGCCAGTGGCTATGTTAAATTTCAAAATGTCATTTTCTTAGCTTGTCACAAACAAATGCTTACTTGCTTTAAACTCCTTATCTACGTAAACTCCTTATCTGATAAAAGTATTTCTGTAGCATGTGTAGAAGATATTATTTTTCAAACGTTATATTATTATTAAGGCCCGGATTTTGATGACATTTGCATTTTTTTTGCATTTTTGGACATTTTTTGTCCTTTAGAGCATTTTTTGAGATTTATAGGGCATTTTCTTTAAATTTTGGGGCGTATTTTGCATTTTAAAGCATTTCTAAAATTTTTTGTTAATTTTTTTCTAATTTTTATTATTTTTTATAATTTTTTATTGCTACACTGGCTTCCAAACAATGAAGAAAATCTCTAGGAAATTAAAAGGTGAAGCAACATATTTTCAAATTGAAGAAGAATTGTCAGTAAGTGTGACCGTCCTTTTCAAGTACGCACCAATAACATCAGTAGACGTTGAAAGAAGCTTCTCCTGGTATAAAAATTTGCTTTCAGACAAGAGACGCTCGTTTACATTTCAAAATATTAAAAAACAATTTAATAATCCATTGTAATTTTGATATTTAGTAATATTATGAGATGGAAGTTGTTATATTCATTTAAGTTTCTATTCAAAATGAAAATGTTTTGGAGTCAATATATTTTCCTTTTTTTTGTTATTTCAGGATATAAAACATATTTTTCAAACTTTAATGAACGTAGAACAAGTATTGCATTGCTTTATATTTTTTGAAACGACTCATAATAATTTTAAAGAGTAAAACATTGTTTTAGTTCAATATTTTTACTTCTATTTAAGTCATGTCATAAGGCATTTTTAGCGCAATTTTCGCATTTTAGGGACATTTTTTGCACTTTTAAGGGCATTTTTTGCACTTTGTAAGGGCATTTTTTGCACTTTTTAAGGGCATTAATTGAGATTTTTTAGGTCATCAAAATCCGAGCTCTAATTATTATGTTATATAAATGTGATATTATTTTTCTATGAATAATTTGTATGTCACAACACGAAAATATGTGTTTTTTCTTGTCTTCATTTTCCCTACAATCTATCTGTTCCTGATTTTGTTGGTAGATGGAAGACGAATCATGATGAATTTATTAAAAAAAATATTTATTTAATTATTATTTAATCTGATTAATGAACTATAACAACTTCTTAATTTAGATGAGGCTAAATTCTTTTAGCAGCTTTGACCAGTCCAGTTTAAAAATCTCTCTCCTAGCACACTGATCTCCTCAGTGAGTCTGGAATCAAAAGCCTTATACCTACATGGGTGATATTTACTTATTTTCGTTTAAAAGTACGATTAGTATGTCAAACCATGCCTTTCACAAAGAAGATTGTTTCAGAGAAAAATCAATTTAAAGAGATTTTAAAATTAGGTTTTTATGTTATTCTGCATTCTTTAAGTCATTGATATCTGTTTATAATTCTGTCTCTTATAAGGGGAAAATCCTAGAATAGCCATAAATTTTATAATTCAGGTAGGGAGGAATTCATTATAAAGCGACTGACTAACTTGTTTTTTTATTTTTGCAATAGCTGTTGTGCTAGGGGACACACCCGAAGAAATCTACGAGAGGGTTAAAGAAGTGATACAGAACGAATCTGCTCCAACTATATGGGTTCCAGCCACTGACAAACTCTGAAGATTTTCTATTTTTGTGAGACATTCCTTTTCATCATCTCTTCTGGACAACAACAAAAAAGTGTGCACGAAAATCTTTTTCGTTTTTTTTTTCTTCTTGTGCGTGACTATCAAAACTCGAAATTTCAATATTATTTGGTTTTCCTTCTCTAGCGTTGATTTGCTGTTAGAGGCCGGGAATGCTCTAAAAAATCGCCTTTGTACAGTGGCGTAGGCAGCAGAACTTGATTTTTTTTTTAAAGTCAATAACATTTTCATGTGATTGTCATTAAAAACAGGAAACATTTATTTTACCCTGATAAATAATAGCCTGTCTCAAAAGTTCAAAGCTAAAATAAACACCATTCAAATGATCTTTAAAATTGGAAATGAAGGTCCATTATTCTCCTATATGCTTTTCTAATGTATGCTTTCTCAATAGTTTCTTCGACAATTGTTTCTTTATTCTTGGTGTTCCGAAAATGTTTTCAAGTGGATACAGTCAATGGCCGTACTCTAAGAATCTATGTAAAATTATAATTATCAGTACTATACAGTTGTATTGTTTTTACGCGATTTACACTCCTGTATCAATGGGTTAACATTGTAATACCATACGTTAAAAATAAATACGAATAGGAAGTACGTAAAAAAAAATCTCCTGAATAAAACCCCATTTCACATGTATGTTTAAATATAAAAGTATTGCCTATAAACTCGTGCAAAACATCTTATTATTGAAAAACTGCGCTGCGTCTCATAATTTGATCTCATTATTATAATATATGCTAATATAATGCATGATATAATAAACATATTCTACATCGTCTCATTTATCCTATCATCAAATTTATGTTATATATCGTCTGATTTTACCCATTGATGCACGAACGTAAACAAGTACAAACCGGTTTCAGCCTCGTGAAAGCAATAAAGCTGTTTAGTTATTAAGATTACCTGATAATTAAGATTTTACACAGAATCTTAGACAGAGTCTAATAATATCTGAACATTTTCTTCGAAGAAGCCAATTTTTTGTAGAACGTGATGTATGTAATATACAATCCGTTCCTAAGATGAATTGAAAAAGGAGCATATGTTTCTTTTCCCTTTATGCAAATGCGGGAATGCCAGCTGATTCAATCCCAAAACAATGAAAGCCTCATTGCTCCCTGATTGGCTCTTTTCCAAGTATGATATGAGTCAGTAATTATATAAGTTGTTCCATTTTTCTAGTCTTCTGAAATGATTGCCATACGACTTTTGATATTTTTACCCAGTTCATGCCAGTGGATAATGTGGCGATTATTTTCCCTTTCAAACTATGATATATTTGCATTCTTGATTACTGTTGTAGACACCGATAACATATTTTATTTGACCGATTGTCAGATTTTGTCTTATCTAAGAATTTGCCTCCTCCCACGACTCTGTTTTCGGCTGAAATCTTGATAAACACCTCTCTCTTTGATCGATTTCAAATGGATCACTGCTTTCGGAATTCTAAACTACTTTAGAATTCTGAAGCTTTCGGCATTGCGAGTGTCGGAGCACTTGAATAGAAATAATTTGCCTGTCTTTGCAATGAGTAGGGGAGAGTGTGGTCAATTGTAACATTTTTTACTTAACTATTTTTAACTAACAAAAAATCCATGTGGTTATCAGGAAAGTAC